ATTTAAAGATTGAAAGATTACAATTTTATATTATAATGTATACTATTTTTGTAGAATATCTATCCATCTATCTTATTGTCACTTATATTTATTTGTAATTTTTATATTTAGTAAGTTTAATCATTAACCATACATTTGACCAGATTAATTGGTTAATATTTTATAGTTAAGTTTTTTTTTTAATATTTATCAAATCATAAGTGTACACAAATATAAAAGTGTATACAAATTTGAAAAGCCATAACAAAAACAGGATATATAATAATAAATATACATACATTTATATTAATATGTATATATATATATATATTTTTTTTTTTTTAATTGTCAGGTTCTCTCCGAACTGGAAGATCTTCATCACAAACATCCCCAGAGCTCCAGATGAGTTGTTCAGGGTAAATCTATATTTATTTCACATTCCTGTTGAAATTTAGCCACAAATTTCACAAAACGCTCATGTTCATGACCCAGAATGCCCTGTGTGAATCTCTCCTGTATTATGTAATAAAGGACAGTCCATTCAATGATTCAAATACTTTATTTTTCTCTAAAAAAAACAAAGTTGTACATAGACGAGTATTTGAGACGTCTGTACACACGCACACACACTCGGCACAGACAGGCTACATGTGAAACTCAAGAGCTAAACAGTGGTTTGCCAAATGACAGTAGATACTCCATGTGACCTGTGTTCGTTTTGACCTAACAGTGATTCAATCAAATTCACCCATATATTTCCATCTTCCCTTTTTAGATTCATCGTAATAATGCGTCCTGATCTGGCTCCATCGTAATGCAAATCGGGCCGGCGCCTCAGGAGACGGCGGGAAATTCACTTCAAGCCACAATCAGAGACAAAAACATGGGAAAACAAAACAACAGAACAGCATTTGCATAGAAAAATGAGCATCCTGGCACAAGGGAACCAAAACAATCATATCAAAAAATGAGTTTATGTCGTAAAAAAAATGAGTTTGATCCATCGGATGTGAGCCGTGATTAACATCTCCCTCGTGTTTGGTAAAAAATTGAAAAATAAAACAATATAAGACACAATAAATCGAATGGCGAAGGTTTGCAGAGATCACGTCTTCAGCAGTAACTACGACCTGATTTTGGCACGGTTTAAAATCACTAAAGCCTTGTACGATATCGTTTAATAATTGGTTCATTTTAAAATTGAAGTACACCCCATAAACGCACCGCAGAGGTGTTTGTGTCACATTGTGCATAGTTCTGCATTGGATCGGCGCTGGTCTGCTGATGACGGGTTAATCGTCAGCGTCCTGGCCGTCTCCGGGGCGTCGCGTGATCCTGCGCTCGCCTCTTCTGCCGGGCGGCCCGCGCGGTTTGGCGAATGCCTGCTTGTGCGCGTGCTGCTTGGGGTGAACCTCATCGTAGAGGAAATCGGCCGTCAGCTCATCGCCGTTATCGATCTCCATCTGCGGGGAAACACACGCTGAGATTTACGCCACATATGTCGCTTCAGCTCAGACGTTACGAATAAAAATGAACAGGGCTGGGGAAATAAATTGATGCATCGCGAATCGAGAAATGATTCGGCATCGAATCTGAGGCCACGTCCACACGTACACGGGAGTTTTTCCGTCTTCCGTTTAAAAAAAAAATCTCCATCCACGTGCAAACGCATGCTATGAAGCACTGTCAAGAGCATGCCAAACCAACAGGTGGCGATATAATCCCAACCGTAAAGCCATGTTGGCCAATCAGAAGCCTGAAAGAGTCTCCAGTAGGTGGCGATAACAGCGCAGGCGCCGACATCACAAGCCAAAAACTCCGTGTGGACAGGGCCTGAGATTTTCCGAATGCATGGCGATCCTTTCTCGAGTCGATTCTGAGCTTAGTTTTGAACGCTGCATGCTTGAGAAACAGCCGAACTCTGCTGGCTTCCGAATCCTTGCACACACTTGAACCTAAAATAATCATTCATAAAATTCGAAAAGGTTGAAGCGAATTACAAGGGTGTTCACAGTGGGCTGTTTACATTAATCTCGCGTCATAAAAGCATTCTGAGCCGAGGCTGAATTACAGGATTTACCCGAATGCACAAGCGCTCTTCTTCATTTGAGTGTGTGGATAAAAACTAGATTAGAGCGCCATCTGCTGTTAAAAACTAAGCTCAGAATCGATTCCAGAGAGAATCGCGATGCATTCGGAAGATCTCAGAATCGATTTATCGTCGCAGCCCTAAAAATGAACCCTCTGGTGCTCTTCGGTCATTTTTGGCTGTTAAAAAAATTACGTTTTTTTTTTACAATTTTTGATTTCATTGGAATGGTATGGAACTTGGTAAATGTTTTGGTACTTGATATGTGGGGGGGGGGAATCATGAAAAGCTACTGAAAAAATTTGTCACACTTGTACAAAAAAAAAATGGAAATGAATGGGAAGCGAATTTCATCTAGTGGAAACGTTTGGTATTGCGCCCCAACTAAATTTTACTTAAAGCTCATGTTTTGCGATATCAACTTCAAAACTTTTTCAGACTGATTTTCTCACAGTTTTAGAGTAAAACATGTTTTGTAAAATATATATTTCATATAAAATGCGAAAATAGTATTTTTGTGCATTTTTCATAATAATAAACAAATTTTATAACTATTTTTAGTTTCACTTTTTTTTTTTTACTCCAGCAATAATCTGCCAAGTGTTTTCTTTAAAGGGGTCGTGAACTGAGAAACCAAAATTCCCTTGATCTTTTGACATATAAGAGATCATTGTAATACTACTACTAAATATAATGTAGAAACTTCAAAATAGAAACTTAAATTTTCTGTAAAGCTGCTTTGCAATGATTTGTATCGTGAAAAACGCTATACAAATAAACTTGAATTGAATTGAACTATAAAAACATCCTGTAAGTTTCAGAACTCAAAACTTTGCCGTTACTCTAAACACAGCTTATATTGAAGGCAGTCTGCTAAAACGACAGCTTTTGTAAAAAAAAATTTTAAATCATGGACATGAAATGAAAATGTGCTGAAACAAATAGTCACACTTGTACAAAATGACCAGAAATGAATTTCCTCTAGTGGAAACGTTTGTTACTGCGCCCAAACTAAATTTTACTGAAAGCTCATGTTTTGTGATATAAACTTCAAATTTGGAAGACAACTTGTTTACATTTATGGCTTTGATTTCACACAGTTTTAGAGTAAAACATGTTTTGTAAAATATATATTTCATATAAAATTATAAAACTTTTTGTGCATTTTTCATAATAATAAACTTCTATAACTTTTTTTTTTGTTGCACTTTTTTCTAACTTTGTTTCACTCTAGCAATAATCTGCCAAGTGTCTTCTTTAAAAATAGACCAAACTTTAGCGCTCCAAAGCATGCAAGATTTATGACAGTTTAAGTTGGAAATTTCATTTTCAGGTCTATGCTAAAAAAAGTGGTTAACAAGTAATAAATGGATTATAAATATTACATAAATATAATTTAGTACCATGAGCAGCACCAGAGGGTTAAAATTACAAAATAAAATAAACATCCAGATAGAGTTCAAATGTGTAGGTTGAATGTGACACTGCCACACTATGTGAGATGCAGGCTATGAAAGAGAATTAGCAGCAAGTCAGAATTACAATTATGAAAAGGAAATATAATAAAATTAGAAACAAAATTAAAACTTAGAATTAAAATGACAGAAATTTGGAAATTGGAAAGAAAAATAGAAATTAGAATTAAAATGACAGGAATGTAGATTTTAGAAATAAAATTATAAATTAGAATTAAAATGACAGGAATGTAGATTTTAGAAATAAAATTAGAATTAGAATGACAGGAATGTAGATTTTATAAATACAATTATAAAATTAGAATTAAATAATTTAATAAAAATGTACAAATTAGAACTAAAATTAGTAAATTAGAAATTAAAATGATAAAATGTAGAAATTAGAAATACAATTTGAAAACTGTACATTTTAAAATAATAAAAATATAGTATTTGTATTAAATTTGTCATTAATAATTACATTTTTAATAAAGTATATTTCCAAGGTATGACAGAAATGCTGTAAACCATTTTTGCTTTTTTTTTTTTTTTTTTATTTGAACTTCTTCACCCCAGAATATTCCTCTAATCACTAACCTTCTTCTCCACCTCCATCAGCAGTTTGTTCTCCACCATCTCCAGCAGCGGATTCTTACAGCTGGAGTAAAGCATCCGCTCGCGGATCCCACAGCTGTATCCCGGCATGGAATAAATAAACACTGAAACAACACCAGTGTTATTTTATCACTCACATACTATTATAGACTGTATTCATATTTGCAATGTTTTCAGTTTTTATTTTTATATTATTATGTTTTCCTTTTAAGTTTAAAAGCTTTAGTCATTTTATTTTGTGGTTTTTGTCTTTTTTTATAGTTTTATTATTATTATTATTAGTTTTAATGAGAAATGCTGGCTTGGCAACCAGGATTATTATAGTTAACTAAAACCATACAAAAACATTTACTTAAAATAAAAAAAACTTTAACAGAAATAAAAATATTATATATATATATATATATATATATATAAATGAGTGATTATGA